TCTACCTCTTCTCTGCCACTGTTGGACACACATTAACCCCTTCTCCGTGACGCTGAGGCTGTGGCCATCACAGTCCACACAGAGATGGAGGCAAACAGGCTGGGGAGGAGACACAAGGTGCACGCAAGATCACTGCCCTCTGCTGAATGGAAGAGGCTCTTGAGAAGCACCCATAAGCTCCACAAACCTCTGGCATTTGTTGCATTTAGAGGATGGCCTCCAGCCATTCTTTTTGGCTGTTTTGGCAAGTCACGAGCTATCTTAGCCTTCACTTGTGAAAACATGGATAATTATCTGCTTCATGGGACAACACTCCAACACTTGTGAAAAATAAAGTGTGCACATTCCAAGGAAAGAAACAATTCTCTACCTCTTCTCTGCCACTGTTGGACACACATTAACCCCTTCTCCGTGACGCTGAGGCTGTGGCCATCACAGTCCACACAGAGATGGAGGCAAACAGGCTGGGGAGGAGACACAAGGTGCACGCAAGATCACTGCCCTCTGCTGAATGGAAGAGGCTCCTGAGAAGCACGGATCTGCTCCACAAACCTCTGGCATTTGTTGCATTTCAAAAGACAACATTTAGCAAGAGGAGATCAAGATTCACTTAAGCCCACCACCATTGGGGTGGTGCTACAGCAGGGTAGTCAATAATCCTAACAAAATTGCCACAAAATACGATGGAGCCTGCTCTGTCTCCTGTCAATGAAAGGAGATGCACTGTTTTCATGTTTGTGCATAAACACTAGGAATATTTGACGCCATCAAGGAAACTGCTACTAAGCAAAAGGTGCTTTGCCCAAACCAAAATACCAGAGCCAAGTCACCGTTTCAGACAATTAGATGATTAGGTTGGCCCCACCTTGCACGGTTGCCTTGGAGTTAATATATAGATCCAAACCCCCACTGCATTTGCTGCTATTCAGATTATCCACATTTTACTTTCACCTCTCTAGAGATTCGATTGGCAGAGTTTAATTTTTCACAAATCCTGCCAACCTTTACTGCTTTACTGTATTGCACGGGGAAAGAGAATGTACTGGCAATTCTGAACCAGATCCTTTCAAACCTCCTCTCCCCACTCCTCAGCAGCAGAGGGTTTTCTCTGTTCCTTCCACAGCTGTCTCCAGTTAGACGGCAAGAAGAAGCTTATTGGATAACGACCTAATTGCACATTAGCACAGAAACAAAACGCTTAAACTGTCACTTTACATTTTCAAGACAACTAACTTATTTTTACATGGTCCTCAGCACGTCAGGAGCACACAGGGCTTCAAACCAGCATCGTCAAGGCCATGGAAAATAAAGAGAAGGTGCAGGAATTCCACCATTTCCATTTGGCTTTTTATAAATCTGTTAAAACAACTTGTCCATTCTGTTCAATCAGTGCTCGAATGAAAATTTCCTGCCCTTAATTACTGTTGATGGCAGACTGATAGCAACACACGGAAACTCTGTATAAGGTTAAACCTTCAGAGGGAAGGAACTAAAAATGGCTCGAAGGACAAAGTTTTTATGAGCAGGGTAAATTTACAGACACGGTATGTACAGAGCTTCACAGGCAGCAGCCAGAGGTTTTTCCTGCCTTAGATACCGAGCGATTTTATGCAAAAAGAATATTCTGTCCCTGCTTCAGACTGGAAAATGGAATCAACTGCATTCTAAGCTCAATGAACATAATCCATAGTGTCAGCCCTGGCACTGGCCAATACTTCTTGTAGGAGCCACTGTCAAAACTAGAGCCAAGAGCAAACACAAACACATCCTTGGGAGAGTCGAGCCTGATCCCTCCCCTCTGCTCCCACATCCTCACCCCGAACAGTGACAGCTTTTTTGCAAACAAGGTTTCTGCCAGTGACTGTTTCATCACAGCACCAGGAACAGAAGTCAGAGAGCACCAGGAATACCCTACAGCATTGCTCCAAACAGCTTTATTTCTGCATCTTCGATAAATCTATCGCTGTGGAGTCGCTCCAGGGGCTCACTGGTTCGACAAGCACCACATGGGGAGGGCCCTCAGGTTCACACAGAAAAAGCAACCCCTGCCCCAAGCATTTCACCCACCCACGCCTGGAGGGTCTCCTGTTTAACTCAATGGGGTCGTGGATTTGCTGGCCTGGAGGAATCCTGGAGAAATCCTAGAGAAATCCTGGGGAAAGACGCGGGTGAATCACCCTGGGGCACTGTCCCCCCCAGCAGTTCCACAAAGGCTGGATCCAGCAACAGCGAGGTAGTTTTTAACATTCAGCCATTTCTATTTCTGTTTGCACGTCAGTGCTCAGCTGTCACTTGCCACCCCACACAGGGAGAATCCATCTCTCCAGACCCCTTCTAGCCATCAGGTCACCTTTAGGACAGCAGAACTGTCCTGACCACGTTACAGACTTGTGCTAATTACAATTACACCAGTACAAGTACTGATGACTCACTCTGTGCCAGTGTTTCTTGGTCTTTCTAGGCATGAAGGTCTACAGATGCACGCTTTCTTCCAAGAAAAGGTATAATTAAACACCAAGAAAAAGACCCCCGAGCTCTGCACCTACACCCACATCCTTCTCTCAGCAAAGCACTCCCAGCCTGAGGTGGCCCAAGGCCCAGAGGCTCCGTTCCCATGTAAACCTATCTGGGAGCAGCCTCCTGGCCCGGAGGAGATGAGCGGGAGCAGTGATCTGTTACCCCCTGCTCAGGAAGAGACAGCTTCAAACAGGAAACCTAAAACGAGAAAAAGCGCCTTGTTAACTCTTTAAGCCCTGAGGCTTCGGTGGTAAAACATATGGTCAGAATTACCAGCCAAAGCAAAGCAGAACAGTGCACTGTGGCTGCACTGCCCTCCGAACATGCTACCTTGCTTTACAACATTCAGTTTTTATAATACAAAGAACAAAAAAAAACCCCCAACTTATTAGTAGAATGCAGGACTTCCTTGCAGTGCTCAATCCTTTCAGAGATTTCTTATGAAAGAGAGGCCTGTCGTGATAAATACAGATGCTTTTCAAATGGAAAGGTGCATTCTTTCCAAAAGGGGTTCCTGGATTCTAGGCAAAATATGGTTTTCAAATGCTTTAGGGCTAAACTTGAAGCAAGAAAGAAGTTTTCGTCTCCTTAAGTAATACAGATGGGAAACTTTAAACATTGATTTTTTTTTTTTTAAACAGATTCCATATATTACTGCAAAAATTAAATTTGGAGATGTTCAACTTTAAAGATCAGCTCTGTAAACCTTTAAAACAATCCAAAATTACACAGCAGAAGTATTACACCTTTCCTCAAAAAGTGTAAATTCTTGGAAAGTCCTCAAAAGAATCTACTTCCTTAGAGGCAGGGGTCCAACCTCATTGGAAGCCAATTCTTTTGTTCTTCTGCTCTGCAATAAAGCTCTGTATTTATTCATTCCTGGAGGTTGCTGCTCCCTCAGCTTCTGAGCAGCCCCTTGTATCTTCCCCTCACTGGGGGATTCAGCCCCCGTCCCTGCCCTCGGGCAAAACATATGTTCCACCCCAGCCCCAATCCAGCCAGGGTGTTTGCAAGGGAATAATTGTTTTATGTTTATTAATCACCTGCATGCAAATAGGCGCCAGTAAAAATTCCAGGCAGATTCTCTGCCAGACTCACATGATCCAGTAGCACCACAGCCCAGTTTTGGGCTCTGGGATAACGAACGCCGCCAATAAGGAGGCATCGCTCCTTTGATATGCAGTGACAAAAATATCACATCAGCTCAGCCCCTCTGCAATGACGACTTTGAAAAGAGAGACAAGAAACCTGCAAAAACATTCAACGTCAGTGGTAAAATAAATTAGAGACACTGCACATTAAGCTCAACAAATCCATTAATGCAAGATGAAGGGGTGAGATTTCAGTCACAGAACTAGAACACTCAGACTCTCCTCACGCTGGTGTGACCTGCCAAGAGAAAAGAATCAGGCAAGGACCTTCTTTCTTATAGCATGAAAAAGTTTGAAAAAGTTTTTTAAAAGAAAAAGTAAATTTTAGCAACATGTTTCAGAGTGTTATACGTCATTGGCCTTAAATAAAAGTCACCACAGCCACGACTACACAAAAACCAGCTGATAATTAAACTCATTCTGGGAAAAATTAAACTACAGTCTGATGGGACTCAGTCAAAAAATAATTTAAGTAAGGGCAGTCTAAAGAGGCAGGGTGAGTTAACACACTGGGGCTGAGAGTTTCTTCTGTGACATTGAATCTCAGTCTCTAATCCAGTTCTCACATGTTCAATAAAATGGGAAAACTTGGTCTTTAGGACTGATCACTTTTGGGAGAAAAAAAGCAACATTCTCAAGCACACCACAGAGAGAGGATCAAAAAAGCTTTGACAAATAAAGGCAGTTTGGTCTGTCACTTACCTTTCCGAGCTGAGAGCTCAGGTGTTGTGCCACACCACACAACACAGGCTGCACCCAACCAAGGACACATCCATCCTATTTCCAAGACTCTTCCCAATCTTACTCAAACACAGAAAGAGTGCCCAGAGCACTGTAAATGGTTACCTCATTCACAGCAAACCCCAGTTCAGAAGCAGTCTCAATGACAACTGCTCTCCCAAGAATCATTTCTGGACAGACTGTGAGTATCAGCCATGTGATAACTGTCTGAGGCTGTTCTGTGAACAGAGTTTTTATCTGGAAGCATCACCAACAGCCCAGACCACTCTCATGGGAACAAAGCTCTGGTGAGTGGAGAGGAATTCAAAGAGTTATGAGAAGTCCTGCAGTTTTATTTCTCATTGAGCTTCATGTTCTTCTAAATATAGAGACACATCAATTAAGAAAAATCATACAACTGATATATCAGTTTGTATTTAAAATAAGGTAGCTATGAGCCTACTGTGCTGGCAGAATATTCTCTCCCCCTAACAGAACCACAGCCAGGTGAGTTAAAAATGACACCAGCATTTTCAAATCCATCCTACTTGAATATCTTTCACCTTTCACTTGGATTAGACTGAAACAAAGTATAACACAGCAAATTAGGTCTTTGAAAAGTTGATTATTATTATTATTTTATAAAGCAAAGAGTGGTAACAACTCTGGAAAAATAAAGTAGATGCCATGTGTTTAGCATGAAACATTTGCCCGATGTTTGTTGAGCTTTAAATACGAGAGTGGACGACAGCACATTGTCACCTAGAAAATACAGTACCAGTTTCCCCACACATAAGAAAACTTATGGGGAGGGGGAAGTAAAAATCTCAGAAGGGAAAAGAAAGGTATGTAACCTGAATGTGCACCCATTAACAGTAAATCACGTTTCACACCTTCACCGGGGAATGATTTACTTAAAAGCTCTCAGGAAGGATCAGTGGAATAAAAAGATAAAACTGGCTATATAAATGTCAATCTTTATTCGATCTCCCAGTGCAGTACATGACTTGTGTGCTCCAAATGAGTACAAAAAAACCAAAAGTGAACAAAAAAAGACAACTGCTGAAGAAAGACCTCAGAGGTTAGGACGTCGCTTTCAGAAGGGGGATATTCTTCACTTCATGGATGCCATCTTTGTCAATGAACCGGGCATTGAAAGAAGCCAGATTGAGGATGAAGCGTTGCTGAAGCTGTTCAACAAAAGACAAAAGAGATGAGATTCATGCAAAGCTTAGACAAAAGAGAAGAGCATAATTTAAGGGATGTGCTGTTGCACATCAAAATCTCCATTCTGGATCTAGTGACCTGAAATACCAGGAACTAGAGAGTTTTTGTCACTGCTCAGGATTCAAGTAGCAGGAGTTTGTTCTGTTTTAAGACTACCCGTGTCAGACAAGTCTTGGCTAGAGATGCAAAACACACAATCCTCATAACCAGGAAGACATTTAAGCAGGAAGAAGTCTAGAGTGGGCTACAACTTTGGGCACAAATGTATGTATCAAAAGGATACTTCAAACAGAACCTCTTTCAAGCATTTCTGCCTAATGTCTCCCCATGTTTCTTCCCAATTATATCCAATTCAACTTCTTAGTGACAAGGATAAAGAATATTTTCCTACAATAAAAGCCCTGGAATCTGAAAGGTTACACTTACGATAAAACTGATCATGAATTTTAAGGTCAAATTTTGACCTCAGTTAGGTATCACTCCACAAGCTGGAAAAGAAGTACACTTAGAAGTATATTCCAGCTAAGTGTAACACAAGTACCAGCAGGATGCTTGCACTATGTGCAGAAGAAACATAAAAGGCAAGACTCAAAAGACTGTCTGTATCAATATTATGCTAAGCGTGGAAGAAGCAGGAGTAAAGAAAAGCAATTAAGCTTCAAGTTTACGTTGTGGAGGACATGAACCATGCTAAGACAATGCAAGTGCCCACAAATCTGTTTCCTCAGTAGCTATTTCACATCTGGTCAATGCGCTTTTATTACCCCTTCTGGCAAAGGCAGCAAAAAAATGCCACAAGAGGAACAGGAAAATATCAGTAAATGAATGCAAACAAACATTCCTTTCTCGAGATCATAAGGGTCTAAGTTTGGCAACTCACCTCCTCTAGACATTTTTTTAGGAGCTCCACAGCTTCCTCACGTGTGATACCTGAACGAGAAAACATCCCCAGATTGATCGAATTAGAGGCCGTCTCTCTCAACAGAAACTTTATTAAATTTAAACAACTTTTCAGCTGAGCACCAAAAGCTCTCCCTTCCCAGCTCACAGAAAACACTTTCCAGATGTACCGAGGACGCCCTGCACCCAAGCACTCACGCTGCAACAAGCCATTGAGAATCGATTTGTTCCAGGGAATGGGAAGCATGACGGAATTCTGCCTCCCATGGCCAGCGACGGGGCTCGGAGAGCTCCAGCCGCCCCGCTCCCTCCTCCACTTTATTACTGTTTTAAATCAGCTCCATCTGTCCACAGCCGGCTGCGAGTCAGCGACAGTAGGCGGGGACTGGGTTTAGTGCTCCCTTCCCTGCTGGGTATTAGTTTTAATAATGGGAAAGGCACGTGTGTGATGCCCCTGCTATTCTCACACATTAGGATAAAATCCAGCGCTCCGCAGGGATGACAACGAGCTGTAGCTCACCATTCTTCTCCTTTCACAAGGAATGGTGAAAATGGAGCAGTATCGTTTTCAAGAGACATGACTAGAAAACTAAGCTCTTGTTGTTTCCAGAGCTTGTTCCAGACCTGCATCCTCCGTTAAGGCAGAAGCCTCACTAGAACAAAATTTGTCAGTTTATAGCTATTTCTTGCCAGAGACAGATGAAAAGGATTACTAAGCAAACGTCTCTGCTATGAGATTCAACTATGAGATTAAATTCAGCTTCGCACACAGGAAAAGTAGTTTTGTAGCTACAGCCAAAGATGTCAGATTAACAATACTCCAAGCCTTGTACATTTCCTCATCTGTAAAGTGGGGACAAGGCCATGTTTACTCCTTGGCAGTGTAAGAACTGGATTATGATTCTAAAATTAAAACTTTAGACAGGTACAGACGTGCAAGAATCATGATCAAGAGGTACCACGTGCACAAAACTGTAAACCAAACCAACCATCATCACCATCACTTCAGAGTACTGATCTTGTAAAGAATATCTTTTTACTTGTATGTTTTTAATATATTGCACACAAACCCAATCCAAGATATGGAGCAATAGGATCTGGGACTGCCCTCTGAAGATTGATACTCTGGGAAAATGTACATGCCATAGCCAACAGGCAAGCAAGCAGAAGGTAAAGTTATCAAAATATTATTTATCAAAAACAGACTACCAGCAGCTAATAGTCCAGGAAAGTCTAGTCATGTTTTGGAATAAATTGAAACTTCCTTCACTTACAGTCTGTTAATGCTTCAAACAGGAAAACACTTTAAGGAGTTGACTAGTCTCACATTACCATTTCAGCAAAAACAGAATGGGGAAAAAAATGCTCCATTTATTCTAACAAAAAGTCACATTCAAATCTGTAGCATCGCAGCAATCGTGCTGGACCATCTGACTCAGCAAATGTCAATAGTCTCACATTACCATTTCAGCAAAAACAGAAGGCAATCTTTAGAGCTCCATTTATTCTAACAAAAAGTCACATTCAAATCTGTAGCATCGCAGCAATCGTGCTGGACCATCTGACTCAGCAAATGTCAGTCTCTTGGTTTAAGCTTTTAATCTATTAATCAGTAATGGGGAAATTTTCTTCAACTCACCTGGTTTGTAAGTCTCTCGGTTTAAACCTTTAATCTATTAATCAGTAACAGGGAAATTTTCTTCAACTCACCTGGTTTGTAATAGCGGTCGAGGATGCTGAGGGTGAGGAATGCACCGTATCCATGTGCTGCAAAAGGAGCTTTAGCCAGGGCCGCGAGGTAGTCCATGTAGTACAGGGCAGGGCCGTCGTGCTCGTCGTAGCCAGCCAGGAGCAGGTTCACGTGGTACGGGGTCTGCAGAGAGAAACCACCTTCTCATTAGAGCAGCCACTCCCCAATATCTGAATCTTAATTCCCTGTAGAACCTACAGAACAGCCACACACTGGGTTTCACAATTCTTTGCCATAAAATCCTACCAGCACCATCAATACTGTCTGCAGGAGACCATGCACCTCAATCTAGAACAGATTAGGTCTCTTCATATAATAGCGGTCGAGGATGCTGAGGGTGAGGAATGCACCGTATCCATGTGCTGCAAAAGGAGCTTTAGCCAGGGCCGCGAGGTAGTCCATGTAGTACAGGGCAGGGCCGTCGTGCTCGTCGTAGCCAGCCAGGAGCAGGTTCACGTGGTACGGGGTCTGCAGAGAGAAACCACCTTCTCATTAGAGCAGCCACTCCCCAATATCTGAATCTTAATTCCCTGTAGAACCTACAGAACAGCCACACACTGGGTTTCACAATTCTTTGCCATAAAATCCTACCAGCACCATCAATACTGTCTGCAGGAGGTCACGCATCTCAATCTAGAACAGATTAGGTCTCTTCATAATACGTAACGCAAAAGTAAATAAAGCCATAAAACTCTGATTCTCCTGAGAATTAGTGTTTGGTTTGTTTTTTTTTTTAAAAAAAAAAAGCTTTCATGGCACATTCAAACTTCAGAAAACTTTAATTATGTTTTCACACCAGATTCTTTCATCTCAACATATTGCAGCTCTTTACTGTCAGCACGTGAGCACAATGTGAACATTTGGCAGTTTATAAGGATGTCTTTGTTAATTTGTAAGGCTCTTTCCTCAGCCCCGCCGCTGCTAACCAGAGCGTGTTAGCACACAGGAAAGTTTACATCCAGTGCAAACAGTTATACACAGTGTTACATCCTCTTGTTAATTGATAGTTAGATTTTTATTGCACATACCAATTTTATACTTATTATTAGAATAACTTGACCAAGTGGATGAAGACTATCTAAGGAATTGGTTTATTTCTATCCAAAACTAAGCTACTGCAACATCTGCAGCTTTTCTCTTTGGTTGGGAACAGGTTTCTTAAACTAGAACTTCAGTCAGCTTTAGCTGCTGTTTTCTCTGACTCTTGTTCATGGCTTCAGCAAGAGCCAATCAAACAAGATGTGAAATATCTACATCTTATCCAGAAAGACCAGGCAACTGCACCGATGTAACCGTGCCTTTTTATGGTGCAACTTTAGCAATTCCTTCCCAGTTTCCTTCCCAGTTTAGGTTTAGTGTGTTCCACCATAATGAATAAAGCAGATGTCCCCATACATCTCCTTCCAAGATGTGTACCTTCTAAGACCATGAAAGACACATGCATTGTATTATTTTTAAATGTAGGCCAAGAAGAAAATTTCAGAATTTTATATATTTTTTAAAACAGCTTTTATATCCTTCCAGTATTTTCACATTTAGATAATGTTTCTCATTAATAATACTAACAGGATCTCTCTTAAAATGCTGGAAAGTCTAGATCAACAAAGCAAAAAAAAAAAATGGGGAAAAAAATGATGATGTGACTAACAATAGATCAGAACAAGCGAACACAATTTCACCCTAAAGCCAAAACATTAAGTTAATCAGAGGAGAAACTTCATTTTGATAATAAGCACAGTGAATTTGCACTCAAAAAATATTACAGTATACTATATATTGACTTCCAACAAATAGTTAGAAAGAATAAAGCAGGCTACAGTTATATATCAAACATCACTGTAAATTGTGTGATTTAATCTTCAAAGCAATCAAGAATATTTGGAACCAAGTTACCATGCAGCTGTAGTCGTTTAATTAGTCTGTATTTCATCATTTAATTATTCTGAAACATCACACAAGTTGATATTTAAGAGCCATGACACAAGATCACTCAAATTATTGTGTGACTTTGAATTACCAACAGTGGCATATGTGAGATAGTCAACCATAAACAAATGGGGTTGTACAGACTGCAACAAACCCACAAGCTGTGCTCCAGTCGTGAGCTCTCCTGCTAAGGGTGGGTGAGACCACTTCTTAAAACTCAAACAAAGTGTCCCCCATGTCGCCTTATCATTCAAGAGAGGTAAGATTTAAGCATTAGAAATTATACATCATCTATTTAATACTTCCATGATTACAACTGAAGTTTGCAGACAGCACCTCTCAGTGCTGCCATAGCAGGACTAACACCTCCGTGCTGGGCCATCCCCTGTACATCTCCATCCCTCTGTGCATTCCAAAAGCAGACTTGGATTTTGTAACCAAATCCATGCCAACAGTTCAAAACTTGTTAGAAGACTGGCATAATTAAAAGGCTACCAAATGAGTGAATGATTAACATTCCACGACAGGTTTATTTCCCCCCCTCCCCGCTACACTTAACCTTGCTCCAAGAGGCACCATTTCTCATCCCGAGTAGCTTTGCACTTTACGCTGTTTGATTTAAAATAACCACAGCAATTAAGCGACGTGCGAAATTCTTCAGAATCTGCAGCTGAAGAGAAGAGTTGTGATAAATACACCAGCCCCACGAGCTCGGCAGCGGGAGGCCGGGCGGTGACGAGCAGCGGTGTGACATCTGGCGGAAGCCACAGTCACAGCAAGGGGGGCAAGGTGGGCGCGAGGAAGCATCCTGCCAAGCGTGGACACGGGAGAGGAACTGACAAGGCTTCCTTTGGACCCAGGCCAGACCCTCTCACCTATAATTAAACATAGCAGCACAACAAGACACTGAACTTCATCGGGTTTGGAGAGGTGGTGGGGGCATTTTTCTGTTCCCCCCCTCACCGGGCAGCCTCAGCAGTATGTTAGATGTACTAAACCCAGCCCCTGATTCAGCAGGTGAAGGTGCTGCAGGAGGTAAGAGCAGAAGAGGAACTGCAGCCCTCACCCATGTGAAAGCCCCTGGGCTCCAAAGCAGTTTCTAGGTTTGCCTCAATCGCAACAGAAATGGAAATCAACAAAGATTCTTCTCAGATCCTACTCAGGAGTATAAGCGGTTTTGTTGTTTTGTTGGGTTTTTTTTGGTTTTAAAAAGAGAACAGTCATGAGAAACCAAATGTTGACTATTCAGTAAAAGGAAAGAGCACAGCCATGAAATGGCCTTAAGTTACAAGCCCAGTGTCTTTACACTCAGTTCTTTCCACCAGAAGAACAACCTCAAGGCGCTGCCTTCCAACGGCCATCCCCAAGACATCAGGAACTCTGCCCACACGAGCCATGAGGTTCATAAACTGAATCAAACTGGATAACATCAGGAGGAACCCAGGTGGGGATTAACAAGGCAAAACAACCTCAGTTTGGGGCTGGGCCATGAAAACAGGCCAGTGCCTGAAAAACTGCTGTTTCAGTGTTTGCCACCTCCCTTCACACACCTACCAGTGCTCTGTGACAGAAACAGCTTCACACTGTACATGGCAATACAGCACCAAACAACCTGCCCCCCAAACTGCTTACTTCTATTTTCCTGCTCCTAACAGGAGGTGGTGGCATGTTTTACCTTTTCATTTTTTATTTTTATCATCCACATAACTAAATCAGTAGCCTCCAGGAACCTTAAATGCAATTCAAATAGATACAGAGAGCTCACGTTAACACAAATTATGAGGAAAATGTAACAAAATTAACAGAAAAAAATATTCTGATGGCAAGGTTTGTATCATCAAGTTCCAAATCCCACAAACAAATCATTAAGTGCTACATTTAAAGAAAAAAGAGTTCTCCCTGCAGTACAGAGATCACTGTAGTGTGACAGCAGTGTCAGAGTGCGCCGCTCGCTCCGGGGCATTGCCATCTGCAACAGTACAACATTTTGTCTCCGGTAAATAAACACATCTGCCTTTGCCAGTGTCCTCCCCACTGAGCTGCCCATCTGGAGCAGGTGAGCTGGAAGACAGGCGTGGGCTCAGGAAGGAGGGGAGACACAGGGAGGATCAGGCCTCAGGGGACACGGCACAGAGGAAGATGACAGTGCCGCATCAATGCCACATCCTACAGGCCAAGTTTGCCAAAAAGCCTGTTAAAAATTATTCCTGTAGTGGTACTTTAAATTTTATGTAAGGAATGGCTGCTTCTGCTTTAGTGGGCAGGACATTCAGCATCAGCCTCACCTACACCATCTGTGCAGGTCAGATGCCCCTGAGACAAGCCACCAGCACCAGGTGGCCGACAGTCACCTGGGCCAGACACCAAGCAGCATTTCTCCCTCACATCAACCTCCAAAACCCCACAGAGTTCCACAAATAACACACACAACCCTTCCAAATCACATCTGAGTGAAAGCTAAAGTGGGCAGCATCACTGTCAACCATCATCCACCAACCACACTTAATCCATGTATTTGGCTGAAGTCATTTAAAGCACAAGAACAGCATTTCATGTGTGAGGCTGAGGCAGGACCCCACGCTGAGCTCTACTGACTCACTAACTTTAGTACCTTGAAAATGTGCCACCTTCAGCTGTCACCCACAGCAGACATGAGAACAGTGATCTGAGGCTGTTCCTGTAGGTAAGTTATTGAAGAAGGGTCTGGACCTCACTCCACACACGTGTAATTCTCAACAATACAGCTCTAATGTTAATCCTGGCCTTTATTTGCTACCTCAAAACATCAGCTCAGGCAGTAAACTGTTAAAATAGCAACATCATTTCTCCCATGCCCTATTCCTGACAGAGTTGTTCAACTTCATTCTCAACATCCTATTTCTTCTCTTCTTTCACGCAGCACGTTGAGGAGCTAATGAAATGCTTCCTAACCCTGGCTCTTTAAAAGTCTGTTTGTCCCTTCATGAGCTTTTCATACCTCGAAAAAAATTACCATGAGAAAAATCACTAATTGCAGTTTAGTAACTTGAAAATACAGCCCCAACTTGGATTTGAGATTTACTGAAAGCCTCATGTTGCTGTTTACAAAAGGGACTTGTTTTGCTAAGTACATCAAACAGCTTTGCTCTATTAAATCATTTTCCAAGAAGATTAAAACGGATTCAGTGCATTTGCATGAACACTGACAACCTTATCTCGATGTTAAAGAGGCTTAATTCATTTAGCTGTCTGCAGCGTTTGTCACAAAATGTTTATTGGGCCCAAGGCTGGAATTCTAAGCCTATAGTTGTATCAGTTATTGATAAGTGATGCGATAAGTTTTTTAAACGAGGAAATCAAGTTACATTTCAATAAAACATCCTTTCAGCAAAGTGAATTCATCACTAAAGACAGAAGCCGCCACCTTTTTCATCGGACTCCATTATTTGAAAATGGAAATTTTCCCCTGTGAGCCTTTGCCAAAATCTTTCAGCTACTACTCACTCGACTCCGCAGATAGTCAGCCAGGTTTCGCCGTGTGAAGTTTGCAGCTGCAGTAGGAGACAATTCATAACCTGGAGAAGAAATGTGTGTATTTGATAAAAGTGCAAATCCATATTCATGTTTCACTTCCTGACTTTCCATTCCTATTTTGAAATAACAAGATATTCTGTAATGACAAATTGTCACTTCTCTAATCCCAGTTTATTGTAAAAGCTACAAGTATAAAAAAGACCCTCAAAATCCAGGCAGCTCATATCTGTATAGACCATTTAAAATACATAGCTTCAAAAAATTACAATACTCTGGGCACATGGCCTGAATTTTTCAGTCCAGTGTATCAGGAAAACCAGTAACATTTGTCCTGCAATGGACATATTCAAAGAAATATTGTACCAACCAATCTATTATGTCATTTATCTTACAAACAGGTTATCTGGGCTTTGGATAAACCTATTGGTTTATACTATATAATCCAATCTCCATTTCTTCATCCTGCCTTTACTATCAGCTTTGCATGAAACTAAAAACGCAGAAATCCTTAAAGCTAGAGAAGCTTTGAGAACTTGCCACCAATATTCAACTGTTAACTATACTTATTAACTCTGCTTCCAAACCCTTGGGGAGTAACTGGTCTCCTTCACTCACCATTTCTCATTTTGTAGAGCTGAACATTTTTCTGGATGTATTCTGCAAACTGCACGGTGTCTCCAGGCTCCCCAACACACAGGAGTAAGATCTTTTCACTCATCTTAAACATTTTATCATGGTCTAGGCAAAGAAAAATAACATTAAGAGCCATGGTCATGAGAAAGAATAAATTACTTTGACAATGTCATAACACATCATGATCTTTTAGAAGCAAGAAAGTAAGAGACTTGGATAACTACATTAAAGTCTTCCTGAGCAAACCCTGTCATTCAGCTTCCCACAGCACAACACACAAGGTTGTCAAACACATGGCCAAGAGAAACCAAGCTGAACTGCACCCAGTGCTCCCTTCGGGAAGGGAGGCATTGCAGAAACACGTCTTTCTTACATAGGAACAGACTAAAACTTCACACAGAATATTGTGTTCAAAGTTCAACACTGTGCCTAGCTCTTCCTTGGGTCAGGAATAAGAATTTTCCTCACTGACCACTCTACTTTATCTAAATACACAGCATCAGAAGCAAATCTTTTAGCCTAAAGCTGAAACATCAACACATCGAGCAAAAGCAATCTTAGGAAATCCAGAAACAAATTCCATGTCAAGTGATCCCCCTCTCCCTGATATCCAGGATTGACTCAAAAATTAGCAATCTCAGCAAGTGACACTTTTCAGAAACAGGGTTTTGCTTATCATTATTTTTTGTAAAAAAAATGAACCTTTAAGTAATAATTATAACTTATTAAACAGCACAGTGACATACACAGCAATTAAGGAACAATAAGCTACACTTTTACTCATAACTGCAGTTTTAAAAACTTGTCTCTGCATATTTGAGGGAATCCAAGTCGTGGTGATGACAACACTGCTGACAATTCTGTGCTGCAGGCTCACCTCATCGGAGCAGGCTGGCACCCAGACACCCGAGAGAGAAAAACTCTGGTAGGTGTTGGTGTGAAAGAAAAGCCACTTCCCTACACTGAAGGCAGGTGTATGGAACACTGCTAAACCTCCAGCTCTGAACTTCACTTTCAGTTTACTAAATGCTGTTGAACAATCTCTGTTGCAAGACAGGTATGAAGTGTCACAATCCCTTAATATGATTTCAAGAGTTATTAAAGTACCCAAGAGCTCCCCAGAAGCTGTGTGTCTTGAGAGCTCAGGGGCACTGACCAGCCCTTGCAATCGATTTACAAACTAAAGCAAGCATTAATAAGTGCCAATATTCTAAATAAATATCTGAAATTTGCTGCTGGAGGCAGCACTGCAGGGGGGTCTCCCCAGAGCAGAGGGGCAGAGTCCCCCCTCGCCCTGCTGGCCACGCTGCTGGGGATGCAGCCCAGGAGGCAGGGGACTTTCTGCGTTGCCAGCACACATTGCTGGGTCATGTTGAGCTTCTCATCCGCCAACACCCCAAGTCCTTCTCCTCAGGGCCGCTCTCCAGCCATTCCAACCACGAATAAAACTGCTTTCTGGGCTCCAGCGCACATTGCTGGCTCAATGTTGAGCTTCTCATCCGCCAACACCCCCAAGTCCTTCTCCTCAGGGCCGCTCCCCAGCCATTCCAACCACGAATAAAACCTAAACACTCAGCAGCCTCCACCTTCACCCGCACCTACCAATTCTAACAGCCTTTCCCCAGCCAGCGCCACAGGCTCACAGCTGCCTGACCGCACACAAGGAGCTCACCCTCGGTCGCCTCCTCATGAGCGGAGCCCAGCGGCACCCTGCCCGCCCAGGGCCGGCCCTGCCCGGTTCGGCCGGGGCTCCGCACCGGCAGGCTCACAGCTGCCTGACCGCACACAAGGAGCTCACCCTCGGTCGCTTCCTCATGAGCGGAGCCCAGCGGCACCCTGCCCGCCCAGGGCCGGCCCTGCCCGGTTCGGCCGGGGCTCCGCACCGGGCCTGCCCCGGGGGGAAGGCAGAGCTAAGGGGGACCGTTCGCTCCGCGCGGGCCTGGCCTCTCACCGTGCTTCATCTGGACGATGCTGGAGGCCGCCACCGTGTCGGCGGCCACCAGGACGTAGTCGGGGCCCTGGATGCCGATGAGGTACTCCATGGCCGCCCGCGCGCCGCCGCCGTCCCCTCAGGCCGCGCCGTGACACAGCGAACCGCCGGCCTCCCCCCCCAGCTCGCGCGCAAGCGCCGGCGCGCGGTGATGACGCCACCGCGCGCGGGGGCCGCCGGGCCGGGAGGAAGGGTCACGTGAGGCGGCGGTCTGGGGCCATGGCGGCGGTCTGAGGGGATGGCGGCAGTCGGCCCGGCGCTGCTCCCCCTGCTTTATACCCTCCCGCCACCTTTGCCAGTCACGGCGCCGGCCCCAACGAGCCTGTGGGCGGCTCCAGGAAGGGGCCGGGGATGGCGTGAGGGATTGGCCGGCCTGTCGGCATCCCGCCCCCTCCTCAGGGAGCCCCCGCGGGCCGCAGGCTGCGGGGATCGGTCTGTGGGAGGCGGGGGGTGTGCTCCCGGTGTGCTCCCGCAGCGCTCCCGCAGCGCTCTGCCCGCGGCCCGCACAGCGGCACGCTCTGTGGGGACAACGGGGCTCGTACACTCCAGCTGGTGGAGGTTCCCAGCGCACCTGGGTTCCCCGTCGGGCAAAAGCCTCGGGGTTCTGATTTGGGACAAAATTCCTGTGAGTTTGGGTCTTTGGCGCCATTCCGAGCCAAAACACAGAGTGTTTGGGGTTGACGAGCACGTTCCCAAGGCAGAGTCTCGCTGCAGAAAGCAGAGTGGTGATCATGGCGTGTCCTGCTGCTGCCCCACAGCCTTTGGGGTGGAACGAGTGGCCTGGGGGCTCAGCCCGAGCGAGCGGCTGCTGCTTCCTCCGGGGGCTGTGGAGCTCCAAGGGGAAAGGCAAACACTACAGCCTGCTTGTGTGGCAGCTCTTCCCCAGGCACAAATTCTTTTGGAAATCAGGGCTGGCACTCCTGCAGCCTCCGATCCATGTAGTCAAAGGGAACTGAACTGTGAAGAGACTGAAACCCTTCCGGGAGCGATGGAGTGATTTGTTTGCTGCCCTTCTCCCTGTGTTGGGGATGGCCAGCAGTGCCAGCTGCGTGTGGAGCCCGGCCCCGAGCTGCTGCGTGGGGCTCCCTGCAGCCACAGCCTGCTGGTCCACAGCCAGTGACTACGGGTGCACGCTCAGTCCCGTCCAGAGTCCCTCCCGCCACCCCAAACACCACCCCAGGCAGAGTCCTGCACAGCCAAAGGGGCAAGCCCTATGTCTCACTAGTGAGCCAGGAAAGGAGTTTTTTGCCAGCCACCAAGGGAAAGCTCCCGAGCTGTGGATGCGCCTGCAGATTTTTCTCTCAACTGGGGGCTTCAGAGCTTCCTCATGAGCTCGGGTAGAGAGAGCTGGGGTTGTCTCTCTGTTCCATCACCCAGCTAGACGTGGGTCCTGGCGGCTGCTGATCAGCACGTGCTGTTCTCTGCTGCTCCCTTCGTTCCCCCCAGCTCTCAACCTACTTAAATTTCTCAGGGCAAAATCTGTCTTGTCTTGGGTGGCCGTGCAGCACCCAGAAGCTTCCAGGTGTGGCTGTAAGGTAGATAATTAATAATGAGAGAAATAAAGCAAACATTCTTAATTGTCTGGGCATTGTCTAACTGTAGGCGCCATCCCGACCAGCAGCGTGACTCCAACTGGCACTTGGTGTATTGATCACCCTCTCTCCTGGCCCCAGCCCCATCTGATGCTCTCTGGCCGAGTGCAGCTCCACAAAGCCCAGCCCCGGGCTAATGAAAGGGGCCACTGAAGCATTAACCCCCCCCCAGCCCCGGGCAGTTGCCATAAAGGAGGGGCCACCCCCCGGGAGATAAAGCTCTGGATGCTACAGCACGTGGCAAGTGCCCAACTGCACCTACACCAGGAAAGTCACTGTGTAATTATGAGAGCTGGGCACAACCTTTGTGTGGTTTGAAAAACGCTAAACGTGCCAAAAAGAAACAGCAAGTTGTCTTCAGGAAACGGTATAAATGAGTGTGAGCAGCAAATTCACCATTTTGACTGTTTTCCAATTGCCTGTAGCTACACTTGTTAAATTGAGTGCCACATGCATAAATCAAACCAGGATGTTTTCCTTTACCTAAGGATGGCCGAGCTCCGTGCCAGCGCTTAAGTATTTTCTACGTGGAGCTGATCTGAAGTTTTAAACACATTTTCCCCTATAGCTCTCCATACGTCCTGCACACGTACATACAGCCGGGCAGCCCGCCGTAGCAGTTATTTTTTGAGACCTTTTCAAGAGAAGGTTAACGAAAAATCAACAACTACCGTCCTCGTTGCTTTTTATTGGGCCCCAGGGTACAATTAAATGTTAAGGTTGTTATTGAATTTTCTTGACAGATTGAATTTCCCCGTTTAGGAAGCACAGGGGCATCCAGTGCACACCCACCTCTGCCTGGGCTGAAGGTGCTTCTGACATGGGTGTAAGGACAGCAGGACACCTCTGCCCAGCAGAAATCGGGGAGTGTTTTCCACTGAAGGCTGCAGTATGTCTTAAAAATGTGCCTTTGCCTATTTTCTTTTTAAGACAAATATTGCAGTTAATGTGTATTTACCCTTGGGTGTGCTATGCAGTTGTTGGGGGGGGTGATTCCAAGAGGAGAAGCTGTGAATAGCGCAGGGATCACAGAGTCACAGAGTGATACGGGGTTGGAAGGGACCTCTGGAGATCATCCAGTCCAACCTCCTGCCAAAGCAGGGCCACCCAGAGCAGGTCCCACAGGAACGTGTCCAGGTGGGTTTTGAATGTCTCCAGAGAAGGAGACTCCACCACCTCTCTGGGCAGCCTCTGCCAGGGCTCTGCCACCCTCACAGGAAAGAAGTTCCTCCTCATGTTTAGGTGGAACTTCTTATCTTCAAGTTTGTGCCCATTTCCTCTTGTCCTGTCCCTGGGCACCACTGAAAAAAGACTGGCCCCAACCTCTTGACACTCACCCTTTAAGTATCTTTAGGTGTTGATCAGATCCCCCCTCAGCCTTCTCTTCTCCAGACTAAAAAGACCCAAGTCCCTCAGCCTCTCCTCATAAGGGAAAGGAAAGGAAGGGAAGGGAAGGATCCTCGTGTTCCTGCTATTTCAGGTGCAGGAAATGAAGGCGCAGAGAGGAGCAGTGATTTAGTGGAGATGACGGGGCAGGTTAGCAGACTGGATAGGAACAGAAATGTCTTGATTCACTGAGCTCCTCTCCGCCTGCTGAAGCGTGCCGTTCGGATCACACAACCCCAGCATGACCCCTGCGAGGCTTACACCGAGCTTTGCTCTTAATCTCCCCGTCTGGGCTCCACAGAGCTCCTCAAGCTGACTTTTTGTGGGCCTGAACATGGTATATTCAAACAGCTTCTCCTTAGGGATGGGCAGGGACAAGCCCTGCGTTGTTCCTCCTGTGCCCAGGCTGGTGGGCAGTCCCTGGTGCCAGCCTGTTTGTGGCTCGGTCCTCCCTCCAAGGTTCCACTGGGTCCCCAGAGAGAAGAGCGTTTGCTGGAGTTTTAGATAACAAAAGTTGCAGAATCTTTCTTTCACATGTTTGTTTTGCTCAGCTCTCCTGCAAACTGAGCTCAGGGTGGAGGGAGCGTGTCCCCCTTGCAAAACTCCTTCCTTAAGAGTCCTTATTCTTGCCAAACTTGTCGGGAAATGCCAATGCCTGGCAGAGTTGGTCCCATGGGCACCCCGTGACAGCCCCACTGCAGGCAGGGGCTGCTCAGCTTCCCAGCTCCCATGTCCTGCAGAGTGTTTGCCCTCCACCTGGGATGGCAAGAACGGGGCATCCATTGGAGTGTGCAGGTGAAAATGGATTGTAACCCGCCGGCTGCCCTGTCAATGGACCTGATTAGCGCCTGCGTGTGTGTGTCTCTGGCAGGATTGATCTTGCAGGTGAGAACCTCTCAGAGACCAGCTGGGGCCCTGCTCTGCAGTGGGATGCTCCTTCCTGAGCAGTTCTGCAGCGGTCATCATCCTCTCCTTGCAGTGGGCAAGAGGAGATTCACCACAGGCAGTTGGGATGGCCAGGGAGAGGGAACGTTATTTCCCAATTTTCAGGGAGTGTTATTTCACAGTTTCCCCATTTCTGGAGCCTCCCCAGCAGCGCAGAGCATCACGGCATCTTCCTGCTGGGTTGTTTCCCTCTCCCAGTTTAGTTTGTGGCTCAGACCTTCCCGGTGAGGTGGGGAAGCAGCCGGCCCCGCGGGGTCATCCTGGAAAAGCTCAGTGATGCCAAGCCCGGCTGGTGATCCCAGCACCACGTCTCACATTGCTAATTGTAAAATTAAACCATCAAAAGAAAAGCTGCTTCGAGTTGTTGGATCGGCTTTCTTTCCCCCCACTGAGGAGGCACAAATCAAGAAATCAGAATGTTTAACAAAACAAACAGAGATTTCTGCAGGATTGTGGGAGATTTACAGGCAGCAACGTCTAGTCAAAGCTCCCCCCGGCTCCTCTAGCTCGGTCCTTCTGTTTGAATTCCTGCTGGTCACTGAATTATTACTTTTCTTACTATTTCCTGTGCTTTAAAAGTGAGGAAAGTACAATCAAATTATCGTCATGCTCATTTGGTTAATTACCCATTTAGTTACTTATTCAGTTCATTAAAAAGACGCTGCCCACTGTCAGTTTTGAGGCAATTCAGCGAGGCAGGCAGTTTGGAGACAGGATATGGGATGAAATAGGCCATTACTCTGGCCCAGTGAATGGCAATTTATATCCCTTCTTTTCTGCTATGTCACTTCTGTGTGCAGTTTGTTCTGGATTTAAAAAAAACAACAACACAACAACAACCAACAAACGCAGAAAGCATTCTGCTGGCGATCACCATTGCTTGTTAGAATCCTTTTAGGTTTAACCCAAAGCTCTGCAAAAGACCAAACCACCTATTTTAGGACTCCTTTTCTTCAGTTGAGAAAAAATGTGCTGCTCCACAGGTCATAAGATGCCTGTAATTATGACCCTGAATAGATAGAAATGTTGCTTCTTGAGACAAATTCTATCTGACAGTTTTTACAGTACGTTCGTTCAGAGCAAAATGCCCTGTCCCCTGTCACCCGGATTGAAATTATTAGGAAAGACAGACATTTCACTGACAACTCTAGCCTCGGGGGGGGAAATATTCCTTCTGTTCCCCTCTGAAGGTCAGAGCTCACATAATGCAAAACACTTAGAACA